CTCGATCATGAAAGCATAATTAAGTTTTATACAATTTAAATCATATAATATTGTACCTTTATGTTGTTTAAATCATATAGTACAATACAATGCTTGAGCACTGTCAAATGAACTGGTTAGTGCTTGAGCACTGGTTCATAAAACCAGCTCAGCAGGTCTGTTTCAAGGTTGAAATTCCATTATTACGGGTCCTAAAGTATGTATCTATATCCCAGTTGATTCCTATAATTAATATGAAGCAAATACACACAATTAGAGTAATTAAATCCAAGTTTTCATGTATCAATTTACGAGATCAAACTTTATAACAACATAATCATATGAACATGTACGCGAGTTAATTTTTAATCCGATTAAAGCATAGAAACAAGTTTAATTCCTCTGTTTAAATTTCCTAAAACCGTACTAACAATACATATAATAAGGGATCAAAGAGGAAGAGTAATATATAGAACTTGCCTTGTGATTTTCAGATTGAAAATCAAACTCCACGTTTTATACAATCGCTCTGGTCATCTTCTCCAACTCCGGCAACCCTTGTCACCTTCATTTTCCTTCTCCGGTAACCTTTTTCTTCCTCTTCTCTTATCTCCCACTCTCTATATATCTCTACCTCTCTTTGCAACTCACGTGAAAACCAAAACCCTATAATACAACTAATACACATATATACAAACCCACAAATCCTAACCTAAGTTTAACTAACATAATAATAATAATAATAACAATACAAATAATACTTATATATATATATATATGTACATCCATAACACATATATACTATATATATATACACACACACACTCAAAATAAACTAATATATGTATATATAATTATATATATGAGCATACCCACATCCCCATGGGCCATAGGCCTTCATCACTTACGTAGGCCTTTCCCAACATGACCAACTAATTCCTTTAGGTTCATTAAACTTAAAACCCAAATCCATGACTAAATAAAATAAAATAAAATAAATAATTAAACAAGCAAATTACACAAGTAAATACACCATTTAACAATTAAAAGCACATAATCAAGTAATGCCAAATAATGCACATTAAATAATTTAAAGTAAACAAATTGACCAAATTAAACAAATAATCACTTAAATCAAACAAACAATTAACCAATTAACACAATAATCATTTACCACAAACAATTAGCTAAGTAAAATAATTAAAATGTAATTAAACTAATAAATTCAAGGCTCTGAAAATTAGGGGTACATATTACAACACTCGTCTCATGCTTTTGAAAACTTTTTACAAAACTTTAGAAATTTAACCTAAGACCTTGTAATATCCCTCTCACATCCACAACTAACCACCATCCCCTCACATCAATACTATGCACGTGATGGATGAATATGACATGTTCATACTTCAGTTCACAATAATAGTTATCAATTAACAATTCTAATCCATCATACATAGCTTTAAAATTACAACACGTAATTTCTAATTAAAAATTCATCAAACACATAACATTTTTTTCATTATTACCAATCATATAACCTTATGTTTGTTGGAAAACGTACAAGTTTTTAAAACTTTTTGAGGGATTTCATATATAGAACTTGATTCATCACATAGAAATAAGTTTTATACAACAATAAAATAAAAAATGGTGTATCATTCAATTAATAGATTGAATACTTACATCAAAGGTTTGAGTAAACCTTTAAATCTTTCCTCTAAAATGAATATTCTCACTTATTGTAGATCCCTTAACAAGATCATTTCTCTTTCTTCTTGATAGTGATCTTCCCTTTAGGAATCATCCATATACCTTGATGAATGACCTTGAAGGCAAGGCTTGTGGTAGCCTTCTTTAGAAGAGAAAGCAAATCCTAAAAAACTAGAGAGAGAAAATATATGCTACTATCTTTCCAAGTCTCTCCTAAAATATATGATGAGCGCTGAAAAGTGCGCATTTAAACCCCTTAAGCTTAGATATTCTAGGACCTTTATCTATCTTATTTTCTCGTTTTATACTGATTTTGTATTATTTCCATTTTCAGGTACTTATCCCCAAAATAAGCTAACTCAGCTAAACAAGAGCATAATTAAAGTAATCTTGAGATGAATAAAGAAAGGAGCAAAAGGAAGCAAGTAGTGGAAATTCAGCAAGTTCGATCGATCTAAGAAAATATTCGATCGATCGAAAGTTCATTGATCTAGACATTTCAAGATGGATCCAAGCTCTTTTGTCCTTATCCAAAGATCCCACAAAGTTCGATCCAATAATTCTCAGATTGATCGAAAAGATTTCATCTTATCCTGTTGTACCACCCTACCTACCACTTTTGTCCCATTCCCCAAAATATCTCAGATTTGTCATTATCCAAAAAGGCGCCGCCATAGAGGATCGATCCAGCTTAAGTTCGATAGATTTCAGCTATGTTCGATCGATCTCAGAGAATGTTCGATCGATCGAACTTCCCCAAGTGCGAGAAAATTCAATTTCCAGCTCATTAAAAGTTGTCTCATAAGGAATATTGGTGTATGAGCCCAGGTCATTGGGGGTGACATTTTAACCTACTTATATAAGGAATATGAGCGATTCTTGAGAAAAATACATAGAGATATATCCAGACATATACTTGAGAGACTTTTAACACAATTTCCATATCATATTCTTAGTGAGAAAGAAAATAAGAGAGGAGGCTAGAGACACAAGCTTGGAGCTCTTCCATCAACCAAGAAGGAGAGCAATTTCTACCATGGAGTTAGCCCTTGAAGATTGGAAGACACCATCCATGAGTGGCTAGACATCCTCTTAGAGCTAAAGTTAGCTCTAAGAATGCTTTCTACTTCTTGATTTATGTATTTTTAAGGGGATTTGTATTATAATAAATGCTTTGATATATTTATATACATAGATCTTGTTTATTCAATGATTTGTGTGGTTTAATTCTTCCAAGTGACCATTTCATTCTATCCATATGTCTATGTATGATAGAATAGATGTTCATGTGTTTATCTCTATTTCTTGTGTTGTTGATGCATGTCTATGTGTATTAATGTTATAGATCTAGAGATTGTCAAGACATAGTGCTTAATAGAACGCTCTTGTGATTTATTTGATGGTTCATACTCATTTCTTGATGGATTGTGCCTCTCCCTTAGTTTAATTAGTTTAATTTCATGTCATTAGCTTAATTGTAGTGTAGTTGTAGTTTAGATGTTAAATGGGAGGACAATCTATACTTGTTGTTTGATGTTCCATACTTATAAAAACAAATAGCATATGTCTCTAACCTTGTGATGTGTTTAGATTGTGAGATTAAAGAAATGATTAATGGCTTAGTTTGATATATGGTGCTATCCACCATGTTATACTTAATTAGTCATCCATACTTGTTGAAACAACCACACACACACACTATTGTTGCAATACATGTTTTTCCCCTCATTAATCATTCATTAAGGGTGTAGAAAAGTTATGCTTAGTGGTGATCTTTAAACCCCAAGATCTCTCTCTCTTATTTTCTCTCTATTGCATTTAATTGTTTACTTTAATTTAAATTGCATCTTAGTATAATTCAATCACCAACCAATCTTTTGATCACTCGACCTACTAACCCTAATCTCGATTCCACAACCTAATACGACCCACCAATCCCTTGGGACGATCCCTACTCGCCCTAACTATATTTTTAGTGAAAGGTAGTAGTGGCAAATTATAAATGTAAAACTTGGCCACACTCATCTTAGTCCAACATCTCTTTTGCTAAGTTTTGGTGTTAGGCGGCGACACCGCACCAATATACATGGACCCATGTATTTATAGGCAAAATAAAGATAAGGAAAGAAAATAATATATCCTTCTTAATCTCTAATTCACATATCTCAATTCTAATAGGACTTCAATATCAACTTGGGCTATGGGTGAGAATTATTTGGGCTTACTATTTTCTTGGCTATTATAAATAAATAATTGGTCTGGTCTATTAAACTATGGACCCAATTCAATTAATTCATAAATTAATTTATACTCCAATAAAAGAAAATAATTACACTCCAATTAAATAGTAAATAACCTCTAAGTCAATGTTGCACTTTGATCACTCTATGCATAATTATTTATCGGATTAAAAAGCCATCAATCCAATAACATAATTAATATAATTATTTTGTTACCTTTGATTATTTCTAACTTGATCACAATAAAAATTTGTTTGACAAAAATAATAATTTACTAAATAAATATATAGAAAACATTTTGTCTAAAACATATGAAGGCCTTCGAATTTAATTTGTGATCAACCATAATCAATACAAAATAAATACAAGTAGCATTAATACAAATATTGAGAATATAACACTCTAACTATTAATTACATAACTATCCAAAGTGTCGGTCTAAGGATCCCGAAGTATCCGCCGAATAAATCAAAGTAATTATTAATTAATAAAAGAGTCTATACTTCTCTCATGCTTGAGAGTCAAAAGCCATGACTGTGATAGAAAGCAATTGCATACGACGGCTTTCACAATATATCTCAACCTATCGTGGACTAGGTTCAAATCTTAGTTAATTAAATGTCCATCCATAATTACCGACTTTGAACCATTTATGATTACTAATTTATAACTGAGTATTAATTGTCATTACATACACATATAAATATATCTTGTAATCAAGTGGACACAATCAATTCCATAATGATTCAAAAAAATAATACATTCCATTCATCAATTGTATAATGCCTTAATAATAATATTCAGATAAGGAACCATGACTTTTACAATCCAAATAAGAATTTGCTATGCTAGGGTACACAAATCCCAACAGCTCCCATTTGCCTTTATAACCAATTCGAATTACATCTAACTCCCATGTTTTCCATATGACGATCAAACATCTTGATTGGTAAAGCCTTTGTGAATGGATCAGCAAGATTGTATTCCGATGCAATCTTAGCCATAAGTATATCTCCTCGCTTTACTATATCACGAACCACATGATGTTTTCTCTGAATTCTTCTTGTTCCTTTATGAAATTTTAGGATCCTTGGTTTGGGTTATAGCCGCACTATTATCGCAATGAAGTGTCATAGGCCGATCTATATGCTCCACAACCTCCAGTTCAATTAAAAAGTTTCTCAACCAAACAACTTCTTTTGCTGCCTCAGAGGTTGCAATGTATTCTGTTTCCATGGCTGAGTCAGCAGTACAACCCTGCTTTACACTCTTCCAACTAACTACCCCTCCATTGAGTTTGAACACATATCCAGATGTAGATCTCTTGACATCTGGATCCGATTGGAAATCAGAATCTGTATATCCGACTGGAACCAGATCATCACCTCCATAAACGAGCATGAGACTCTTAGTTCTTCTAAGGTATTTTGAGATATTCTTCACAGCTGACCAATGATCAAGTCCAGGATTGGACTGATATCTACTGACAATCCCTATAGAGTAACAGATGTTTGGTCTGGTACAGACCATAGCATACATGAGACTGCCAACTGCTAAATCATATGGTATCCGCCTTATTTGCTTAATTTCCTTATCAGTCTTGGGAGACTGGTCATTAGAAAGAGCTAATCCATGTCTAAATGGTAAAAACCCTTTTTTAGAGTTTTCCATTCCAAACCTGGTCAGAACTTTGTCAATGTAAGACTCTTGAAACAAGCCTATTTTCTTTTTAACCAATCTCACAAAAGCTTGATCCCAAGAATATAGCTTGCTTCTCCAAGATTTTTCATCTTAAATTTATTGAATAACCACCTTTTAACTGATGACAAAGCCTCTACATCATTGCCAATGAGTAAGATGTTATCAACACATAAAACAAGAATCATGATGACATTACCCTATTTTTTCTTATAAATGCAAGGTTCAAACACATTTTGTTCAAAGCCAAATAATTTGACTGCCTGATCAAAACAAATGTTCCATGTGCGTGAAGCTTACTTAAGTCCATAAATAGACCTATTTAACTTACACACACAGTCCTCACAATCTTCTGCTATGAAACCGTCTGGTTGCCTTATGTAGATGTCTTGTTCAAGATAGCCATTTAAAAAAGTCATCTTAATATCCATCTGCCATATCTCATAGTCATAATGAGCATTAATGGCCAAAAGAATGCAAATAGATTTAAGCATTGCAACTGGTGAGAATGTATCCTCATAATCAATACCTTCACGTTGAGTGAAGCCTTTGGCAACCAGTCTAGCTTTGAATGTCTCAACATTCCCATCCATTCCTATCTTTCGTTTATAAATCCACTTACAACCAATGGGCTGAATCCCACTAGGAAGTTCTACAATTTCCTAGACTTTGTTAGAATACATAGATCCCAACTCTGATTTTATGGCATCTTTCCAATGATTCGCATCTATAGCGGTTAACGCTTTCGCATAGCTTACTGGGTCCGACTCATGCTTATCGGGGATGGCCTAATAGGCCTCACCCAAAAGCGTTAGTTTGTTGGGTTGGATGATAGTCTTCCCACTACAACGAAGGACCGGTGTATGAATCAATATACTAGATGATGGTATTTCAACAGGGACTTCTTGTGTCTCATCATTCTCAGTATTTATATTGCGTGTGTCCATGGGAGGTATATCTGATGTGCCAACCATCTCCTCTAACACTATTCGGCTACTATATATGTGGTTCATAATATAATCCTCCTCCAGGTATATAACGTGAGTGCTGACAATAACCTTATCGTCCCTGGGATCATAAAATAATCCACCTCTAGTGCCCTTAGGATAGCCAATAAATTAATATGCATCTGATCTTGCTTCTAACTTGTCTACCTATTTCTTACACACGTGTGCTGGATACCCCCATATATGCATGTGATTTAAACTAGGTTTCTGTCCAAACCACAACTCATATGATGTTCCTGAAATAGACTTGGATGAAACACAGTTCAAGATGTACATCGCTGATCTAAAGCTAATCCCCAAAATGATAGAGGTAATGTAGCAAAACTCATCATAGATCTAACCATATTAAGCTAAGTTCTGTTTATCCTCTTTGCCACTCCATTCTGTTGGGGCAGTCAGGTGCGGATAACTAGCACACAATACCCTCATTGACCATATAATCCTTGAACTCCCCCAAGAGGTATTCACCTCCTCAATCAGATCGAAGTGCTTTGATGAGTTTACCTAATCTACGTTCCACTTTCGCCTCACAGAATTTTCCATAAGCTTCTGACTTGTGTCGCATTAGGTAAATATATCCAAAACGTGAATAATCATCAATGAAAATGATGAAGTACTTAAACCCTCCTCTCGCTTGGGTGTTCATAGGACCACACACGTCTGTGTGCACCAACTCTAATTGTTCTTTGGCTCAATATCCTTTGGCTGAGAAAGCCCTTCGAGTTATTTTTCCTTCAATATAGAATTCACACGTTGGCATAGGCTCCTCTGCCTCACAAGGTAATAAACCTTCTTTAACCAACCTTCGAATCCTATTTTGATTGATGTGACCCAATCGTAGATGCCAATGATACAACGAGTTTGGAGAAACTGTCTTTCTTTTAACATTCAATCTAGATGAAGTTGCATTTAATTCATAATTTTGCATTTGATATGAGTTAGGAGTTAAAATGTATAGACTATCTTTCAATGCATAAGAAGTTATAACACAACCATTCAATTTAATTAAAACAATTTTCCTAAAAGTAAAAATATAGTTTTTTTCAAACCAACGAAGAAACTGAAATTGAATTACGCCTAACATTTGGCACATAAAGACAATCTTCTAAAATAAGGCTCATCGCACTATCAAACTGCATATGAACCACTCCCATTGCTTTAGCTTCCACCTTGGCATTAGATCCTATATGCAAGTATATCTCTCATTCATTGAGGCTTCTGGACTCCTGGAATCCCTGCAAAGAATTGTAAACATGATTAGTGGCTCTAGAATCTATGCACCAGGAATCTATAGATTCAACCACATAACATGCCTTAACAACAAATATACCTTTTCCTTTGCCTTGTGTGCGAAGTGTTGGGCAGTTAGGTTTCCAGTGATCCGGTTGATCGTAATGGAAGCAGTTTCCTTCGCCTTCAACCTGCACTTTCTTCTTTCCCTTATCCTTTTGGATCACTTTGTTTGGCACAACCACAGTTTGGGCACCATCATTCTTCTTCTTTTTCCCCTTCCTATTGAGCCTAGAAGTGGATGGTCCAACAGACTGAGTGTAGTTGATAGATGCACTCTTACTTTTGATTATCCCTTCAAAGGTTACCAACTTATTCAGAAGTTCAGCGAATGAGTACTCAAGCTTATTCATAGAATGATTAACCCTAAAAGAGTTGAATGAGTTTGGCAATGAAGCGATAATCATGTCAACCTGAAATTCACCATCCAAGTTGCATCCAAGGATCTCAAGTTCATTTAGAAAACCAATCATTTTTAAAGCATGATCCCGAACTGGAATACCTTAGACCATCTTAATGGTCATCAAGTTTGTCATGGCAGTTTGGTATGCACTCTTACCAACTTACCCATACATTTCCTTGAGGTTAAGCATGAAGTCTGCAGAAAGTGAGATAATAAAGATGTTAACTTTAAAGCACATTCGAGAGTGAAGCAAGAATGTAGCACCTAGTCATCTCATCTGTTTTATTCCACTTCTTAAAAACTTCATGCTTCTTAAGAGGATCCTCAGGCAAAGGTGGAGAAGGTCTGGAAGTAGTAAGCACATAATTGAACCCCTCATATGTGAGTACAATATCTAGTTGCATTTTTTAATTGATATAATTTGGTCCAGTTAATCGATTTTCTTTTAGTATGTTTGCAAGTGGACTGAATGGACTAGTCATGATAAATCTGAAAATAAAAGCATTCATATAATAAATAAGGTGAATAAAAATAATCATGCAAAATAAAATAATTAATTAATTGTGGGTTCCTTAACCACATTGCATGAAAAATTGGACAATCAATATGCTAATAACTTATCCGGTTGGCGGAGTTCATTATTGATATTGACGAGAAAAACTCATTATTTCCATATTTCTTTAGAAAATGTCTTATCTATATATGAAATAATTCCCAATTTTGTTTAGCCTTTCTAAATTCACCTAATATAGACCACTCCGTTGGGGAACCAATAGTATTGATTTTAGATTAAATGTATAACGTTATTAATGCTCCAACGAAAAATCAAATATTAAATATATTGCCATTATAAGCTTAGACTTTTTAAATCATGCGTGGGGCCTTATTTTTAAAGATCTAACTATAATGAATATTTAATAAATATATTTTCGTAAGACAACCATTCTTGTAATATAGACTCTTTAAATCATGCGTGTGGCCTTATTTTTAAAGATCTAATTACAATGATTATAAGGCCATGGGGTAATGTATAAAAATCCCCACTCCCACTCAATTTTTAATTATTTATAATTAAGGTTTTCAATTCATGATATAATACATGTAAAATGCCTTAATTTTAATCCAATTAAATTTAGAAAATATCTGTACTTTTAAATTATTCACTAATATTTAATTTGAGGCACACTTAAAAAATAATTTTTCTTTTTCCAATAAGTGCCCTCTAATTAATTAGTAATCAAATACCATTAATTTTCATAATTTAATTAATATAAATCCAATTCATTTAGATAAAAATCATGGATCTAATGTATGAACAATAATAATTAACAATTAATTATTCTATGCATCATATAAATGATTAAATAACAGACAAAAGCAAATAAAATGGCGAATGGAATAAGCTTTTAACATTTAAATACTATTCTTATTGTACTGGCATCCACCGTTGGCTTGTTAACACCTGCAGGGAGCTGGTACGCGTTTGGAGAAGCAAAACAGCGCTTGGGAAGCGCCTGGAGGGACCTGCACGCGCCTGGGGGTTGCAGCAGTGCGTGGTACATGCCTCCAAGCCCCAGCATTCGCCTGGAAGGCGCAGCAGCGCGTGGCACCGCAACCACGTGCTTGCACGTGCGGGGAATGTTTGACTTTGTCTGGCGCATGCTCTTCATGTGCCAGAAGGCTGGTTGGCGTTCCATTCTTCAATGGAGGCGCGCTGTACTGGATTACGCCCCTGATCCAACGGTTCTGGATCCGAGCGCACGATACTATGGTGTATCGCGCTGCACCGAATTCGATAGCCCTTCTCCAGCGCCGCCCTCGCCACCGGCCATTTTTCGGTTGCCGGAATTGCGTCGAAAATTGTAGAAAACTTCGAAAAAATTAAAAAAGCCTTAAAAAATTCTAAAAAATTCCAAAAAAATTTCAAAAAATTCCAGGGACCTTATTTAATCCTCTTGGACCTTCTTGAAGCTTCAGAGTACCCATTGATGAAGTTTACATGGCTTTGAAATTAATTATACATATGAAATACAATGAAAAATAATTAAATTAAATCATTAAACTTTATAACGGGTAGATCAAAGTCTTAATTACATTCATCCAAAGATAAAATTACATTAAACCTATAAACTTCATCTATGGCCCAAAAATACATCATCATCCATTCACACTTATACATACATCATCATCATGTATCAATATATATCAACATATTAAATCATACATCAAAACACATCAATAAATATATATATGCACATATAATTTGGATCCATGAATGATGATTTTCATAAAAACATGATCTCTAGTAATGAATCAAACCATGCTCTGATACTACTGTTGGGAAATGTACAAGTTTTTAAAACTTTTTGAGAAATTTTCATATATAGATCTTGATTCATCACATAGAGACAAGTTTTATGCAACAATAATATAAAAAAAAAAAATTGATTTATCATTCAATTAATAGATTGAATACTTACATCAAAGGTTTGAGCAAATCTTTAAATCTTTCCTCTAAAGTGAATATTCTCACTTATTGTAGATCCCTTAACAAGATCCTTTCTCTATCTTCTTAGTAGTGATCTTCCCTTTAGGAATCACCCATATACCTTAATGAATAACCTTGAAGGCAAGACTTGTGGTAGCCTCCTTTAGAAGAGAAAACAAACCCTAAAAAATTAGAGAGAAAAAATATATGCTACTGTTTTTCCAAGTCTCTCCTAAAATATACATGGACCTATGTATATATAAACAAAATAAAGATAAAGAAAGAAAACAATATATCCTTCTCAATATCTAATTCACATATCTCAATTCTAATAGGACTTCAATATCAACTTGGGCTATGGGTGAAAATCCTTTGGGCTTACTATTTTTTTGGCAATTATAAATT